CTACTCAAGCTTTAGGATGTTAAGAACAAAATTGATTTTAGTTTTCAGCCTTATGGCCCTTGCTTTGTCTCTCTGTCCTGATGCCTGTATGGCTATATGCAAAAACAATGCCTGTATGGCTAGATGCAAAAACAAGCCTTGCCTCCCTTTTTCTTCTTGCGGTAACCTTAGTATTATATACCCTTTCCGATTGAATACCGATCCTGTTAAGTGTGGTTTTCCAGGGTATGAACTAGTATGCGAGAATAATCGCACAACTTTCGTTACAGAACAGGGCAAATTCTTTGTTGAGAATATAACAAAAAAATATCCTTTTTCTGCTACAGTCCGATTGATCGATACCAGTCTTCGGAGGGATAAGTGCTCCATTTCTCGCAGTTCCCTTTTTGGTGTCCCAATTTATTTTGAGGATTACACTATGTATATTCTAAATTGCAATATACCAATGAACTCATCACTTTATGTTGATGCCTCAGCTTGCACCAATAGATCTTCCTCTCCATATACCTACTTTTTTCTCTTCAATCATTCCCAACAAAAGTCATCTGATTTCAATGAGTCGTGCAGAATTGAAGCCCAATTTCCGTTTTCGAAGTCTAATATCACACGCCTTTCTGCTTCTGATATCTATCATAAGCTGCTAGAGGACTATGAAATCGATTGGTATTTGGAAGACGAGTGCTTCTTCTGGCAAGACGAAAATACATTGAAGGAGATGTAAGCATTCAGCGACTTGTCAACATCTTCACTTTATGCAGAATAGGAAGAAGAATACCCTGTTTTGATGCTCTTAACTTCTCAATATCCCTTCATTTTTTTTTTTTTTTACCTTGTATTTGACTTGATATCACTTCACTGGGCTTTGTTTAACGTTGTAGATTACAATCAGTGGAGTATGCGTTGGATAATTTTCTGGACAGCTTTATATTTTTCCTTCTGGGCGGCCCCCATGTAAAGGATAATACGAAATTTCCACCACATAGTATGTCTTAATATATAATTTTTATTAATGTTATAATTTTATTTTGCTTTCCCCACCTAAATATATAACTGTTTGTCTGTTTATATAACATTGCCTTTTTCTTTTTTTTGGTAACAGGTACATATATCAAATGTCTTCTAACAACAGGTATGCCTCTACTTATATTTGGAAAAAAAAAAGTTTATACATAATTTCTTAGTTAATGTTGGAATCTAAAATATTTGTAGATCACAAATATTATAAAGGTTTTATATGCAAATAGCAGAAAATTTCCAGAAAAGCATTCAACTTGTGAAGATAAATTGAGAATAAATTAAGACCTAATTTAATATCATATGAAAAGTTCTTCTACTGTATGTGTTTCAAATTATCATTAACACACTCTTTGTATTTACACTATATAGTTCCTTAAGAAGAAAACAAGCTAGAATAATTTGACAAATTCTTAATGAATTGAAAACATATTTCATTTTCATAGGAGGTTTACAGAGTTGTAGATACTAATCTGTGGCTATCTTTTTTCCTGAGAAGGAGCAATTATATTAGCTAGAGCTCTGCTTGGGATATCCATCTTGCTTGCAATCATTGTGTACAAATTGAGGAGGAGGCATTTATCTGTGGATGATACAATTGAAGAGTTCCTTCAGAAGCAGAATAACTTCATGCCTATCAGATACACATATTCAGAAATAAAGAAGATCACTGGAAGTTTCAAGAATAAATTGGGTGAAGGAGGTTATGGTTTAGTTTTTAAAGGGAAGCTTCGAAGTGGCCATTTTGTAGCAATAAAATTACTGAGCACGTCAAAAGGTAATGGCCAAGATTTCATCAATGAAGTTGCTACCATGGGAAGGATTCATCATGCTAATGTCATGCAACTGATTGGATTTTGTGTTGAAGGATCTAAGCAAGCCTTAGTATATGACTTCATGCCCAATGGGTCTTTGGACAAAATCATATTTTCAACACAAAGCAATACGTCTTTAAGTTGGCAAAAAAATGTTTGAGATTGCTCTTGGGGTGGCTAGGGGGATTGAATACTTGCATAGGGGATGTCAAATGCAAATTTTACATTTTGACATCAAGCCTCACAATATCCTTTTGGATGACAATTTTAATCCAAAAGTTTCTGACTTTGGCCTTGCAAAATTGTATCCTATAGATGACAGTTTTGTATCTCTCACAGCAGCAAGAGGAACACCAGGATATATTGCTCCAGAGTTATTCTACAAGAACATTGGAGGTGTCTCATACAAGGCTGATGTTTATAGTTTTGGAATGTTGCTGATGGAAATGGTAGGAAAGAGAAGGAACTTTAAAGAATTTGTGAACCAATTAAGTGAGGTATACTTCCCAACATGGATTTATGATCAATTTGATCGAGGTGAGGATATAGATTTGGGAGATGTTACAAATGTTGAAAAGAATATTGTGAAGAAAATGGTCATAGTTGCCTTATGGTGCGTACAGATGAAACCTGTCATTCGCCCTTCAATGACTAAAGTCTTGGAGATGCTTGAGAGTGAAATTGAGCTCCTGAAAATGCCTCCCAGGCCTTGTTTATTTCCTTTTGAATTGCCAACTGCAGATCATGCTAATATAAGTCTAGCAGCCATGCCCACAATGTCTCTTGAGGCAAGAACTTAGTGGTCTCAACCAAATGTATTATTAGGTAAATTTTACTCTTAGCAAGTGCTGCTTATATGCCAATATCCAGCATTGTAGACTTAGAAAATGGCCACTTTAAAACTATACTCTTTCTTCTTCTTCTTCTTCTTCTTTTTTTTTTTTTTTTTTTTGTGTAAAATGTATTAAAGTTTGTTGATGCTTCCTAACCCTCTGTCGTAGCAGGGTTCACCATACCATTTATTGTTTGAATATCATACTTTGGTTTATTTTTCAATTAACCAAATAGGATTGTTCAAGTTCTATATTCATTAATGGATATAAC